GCCTCTGCGGCGTGTTCAGACTTACGTGCGCGCGGCCTTGGGCTGCTCCCTGCCCGGTGCCCTTGTTATCAGCCTTTGACCAGCCCTGCTTTGTGATTATTTGTCCCAAGTGATCAGTTTACTGTAGCTTCCAGCCTCGGAGGGGCCAAGAAGTCACTCCGTGGCCGGGGCCCACGCCCCTTCGGGTGCCAGATAGACCTGTCCAGCCACCTCACCTTTGCTCGCTAATAGCCCTGTGAGCCGTTCGGGAAGAGTCTCTTGTTGTGGCTGGGGGCAGGGAGCTGGGTTTGAGTATGGGCTGCTCTACAAGCTCCAACACTAACATGCAAAGGGAGCACGAGGTTGAGGGGAAATGGGAACCAGGCCTCAGCAGCAGTGCTTACATGCTAGGGGTAGCAGGATTCAGGGGTGTTGCTTGTAGTTGTGTTGGTCTAAGGACGTAGGCAGACAAGGTTCTTTAGGTAAATTTTTCTATTAGACCAACTAAATATTTGGAAAAATTGTTCTTTGCAAGTTTTCAGGCACAAACACCCTTTTGCAGGCATAGGGAGAGTGCTGGTGTTTTGGGTGGACTAGAGGCCAATATGCAAAATACAGGGCTGTGAAATGCAAATGTATGGCCATCAATGAGGATCAGAGGCTGTGAGCTAGTACATTTTTTGTATCTAGTAGATTTATGAAGTGAAGTTTGTAGGCTTGTCTACAAAAGGGTTTTTTTTTTGTAAATTCCCTTTGAGGATTAGACCTGAGAGACTGGAGACAAAAAATCTTGGACTAAATATAGAGATTGGATTTATAGCACAGTATAACCTACCTGAAATCTGATAACCCCAGGTAACCTCTACATTTTACTAGCTACATCCTATCACCAGGTCAGCATTCCCCCCTTCCCTTTCCACCTACCTGCTTCACACCTATTATCTCCCATGGCCTCTGATCCTCACTGCCAGCCACGTGCGTTTTCAAAGGCCTGCATTTTGCCGATTGCATCTATTCCACCCAGGAGAACACAAAACAACAACAGACGCCATATGCCTGAAGAAGGGTGTTTGTCCCTGAAAGCTTGCAAAGAACCATTTTATCCAAATATTTAGTTGGTCTAATAAAAGATATCACATTTACCCAAATAACCTTATCTACTTCGGGACAGCAGGTGTGAGACGTGTTTGTAGGCTAAGTACTTTATGCTTTAAATAGAGAATCTTCTTTAACTGTTGTTTGCTGTAGAAATGGACTAAGCAAGAAAAGCAGTCCCCCAGAAACAAGTGCTCAAGAAGCCAGTGGTCCTGCAGGCTGGGTTGTAAACCCTTTGGGAAAGTGGAAGGCCTAGAGTCCTCATGGAGGCAGCTGTGTCCAGACATACATTATTGTGAGGTGCATTTGGACAAAACTGGTGAGTTCCTGGAAAAACACCTGGAACATTGGTAGGAAGCAACATTTCTCAAGCGGAATGTGAATGAATATAGTTGCACAGTGTTGCAGTGGGAGCCCTCTCCTAGCCGTTTTAGGGGGGAAAACAGTATTGTTTTTATAATGTAATGCAGTTACAAATGTTTACAGATAATTTGCAACCCAGGAAAGCTTCAGTCATCCAAACATGTGATAGACTTATCAGGAGGCACTACTTCACAGTCAAGGTGGCTAGGATCTGGAACCAACTTCCAAGGGAAGTGGTGCTCGCTCCTACCTTGGGGGTCTTCAAAAGGAGGCTAGATAGACACCTTGCCAGGGTCGTTTGACTCCAGCATTCTTTCCTGCCCATGGCAAGGGGTCGGACTTGATCTGCTCAGGTCCCTTCCAACCCTACCAACTATGAAACTGGGCTAAATATGGCCCATGGAGCTATGTTGTCAGGCCTACAGATAGGGAAATTTGGCAGTGGTAGAGTGGCGACAATTAACACTGCTCCCCCGCTGCCAAATTTTCAGGCTTCATGTGGCTGGATTGAACCTGTGCCATTGCTGCAAGGCTGGATCTGGTCCCCACTGTGCTCTTCCCATGCACCAGCAGATTTTGTGTGCCATGGGGTCATGGGCTTAGGCCTGTTATGAAAAAACTATATGCATTAATAAGGGAGGGTACTGGGAACACATCAACTGATTTCTTGGGACAGTTGAAAAGAGAACAGGAAAGGGAGTGAGGTCGTGGGTTAACGACAAGGGATCTAGAAGAGGACACTGAGCAGAGCACGCTGGCCAGCAGCCACTGCCCCCTGAATGAGTTGAAGGGGCCTGTGGATGCTGACCAGTGAAACTCTGCACAGAGATGTGAATGGAGGAGCAACAGGAAAACAGCTCCATACTTGCCTAGGTTCCCTGACCAGAGTTTTTCCATGGACCGGATCTGGCCTGTGGATAGACCTGGCACTGCCCAGCCAGCCCACAGAGCAAAGATTAGGCACCAGTGGACTAGGTCACATGGTATGAGGAGCAAATGTTCACTGCAGCCAGTTTACAGTCTTCATGCATAAACTGTTCACTGAATACATTGTTTAAAAAAAGAAACAAATTGGTATTTTTATTAGTGCTCTAATCATACCTGTTAGACTCCAGTTGAGATCAGAGTCAACTTGTGCTAAGCTAGACATTGTTCAAACACATGAAAAAATAATTCCTGTCCTGAGTTTGAATAGTTATCATAGATGGACAAAGGAACAGGAGGGGGAGAGAAGTAATTTTCCCAAGATAATTGAGCAGATCAGCAGGAGAATGGGAAATAGTAACTTCCAACTTAGAGCCCTATCTAGCAAACCACTGGAGCTCTAATAAAATTCCCAGTCTATCTGCAGAGAATCTGAACAGGACTGATTTTATTGGCAAAGCTGCCTGTAGCCATTAATTTTACTTGGTTTAGTAATTTTCCAGTTTAAATATGGAAACACTGATTAGTGCTTTAGTGTCTCTGGCCTTTGAACTTTTTTCAGGAAGGTACAAATGGAGTCTGATTACCTCAAGAGATCAGTAGGAACATGTTTGGCAAAGGGACTAGCCGAAGTAGTAGAGCTTCGACCAGCAGACCCAATAGAGTACCTGGCACATTGGATTTACAAATACAGGAAAAACTTAGATGAAGAGAAAAAGGTAGGCATCTCTGCATTTAAAATGGTTACTATTACCCTGTTGACAATTTTAATGACACTATAGCTGATATTGTATCTCTCTTCTAACTTGTCAATGTCACATTACTTCTGTAATGATAGAGAGACTTGGAAAGAGCCAAGCTGGAACAAGAACGGGAGGAGGCCCAGGTAGAACTGGAAATGCTAGAAAAAATAAAGGAAGAACAACTGATGATCGACCAGAAACTGGCAGAGGAGCAGCAAGTATGGCAAAGTATAATTCATTATCATAGCACTGTAAATTTTTAGAATACGGCAGCAATTTTCAGACTTCCTAAAGTCACAGAACCCTTTCATATCATAGGTTCTGTTAGGAGTATGTGTAATAATAAATGACATGACCAACCAAAATACAGCTTTGGTTAGAGAGGGAAAGTGATTGTATTATGTTGTCTTTAAGCATCTGGAACCCTGAGGCAAAGTGGCTCTGTGCAGCTACTGCTGTGCAAACAAGCTTTTTAAATCAACAGTCTCTGTTCTAGATGTCATGTATGGTGATATGTTCTGCAGAATTGGTGTTCTTTGTGTACTGCAGTAGACAAACAGTGGACACAATATACGCTTTTAAAAGATGTTGCCCTTCTGTGATCAGGGAGCGTGTATGCAGTGGTTTCCTGATGTGTCATATAGTCTTCTATCCTATTAGAGCTGACAGAAAAAATCCTGCAAATATTAGTTGGAATTGGAAGATGAATTTTAATTTGATTGTGTATGCATTTTTTTATTTTCTTTCAACACACAGTATACTTGAGCATCATTACTATTGTGAATATTCATACAAAATGAAGCTTTTTCTGGAATGTTTGGTTATTTATCAAAAGTATGCTTTGGATGTATATTTGACTCTGTAGGTTAGTCGCATACAAGTGATGGTTTAAGGTTAAGCAGTTGTCCTGTAAACAGATGTCTCATTCGATGTGGTCCTGATTGATCAGAGTCAAAACCAAGACAAAAGAGGAGCTGCACAGCCTTTTACATAGGCAGTTGTTCCAAGCTTTATTGCTGCTCTGCCAGTAGGTGGCCAGGGGGAGCACACAACCTGACAGACATGTCCTTGGAATGATTGGCAGTTAACTGCAGGGTGGATTTGATGTAAATCCAATCAATTTAAATCACAAGTTAAATCACTGGTCAGGAAGCCTCAATTTAATCATTATTTTCTACAAAAAGTGCATTCTTGTTGTTTGATATCCTTTATCATTTAACTTCTTGGAACTTTTCACTTCAGAGAAAGGTAAGGGCTTGACTGTATGTACACAAACTTGCAGAGAGACATTAGGGCTGATGGGTAGGTAATCAGGTCTGTTATCTCTCATCTCAATAAATTGCTGTTAAAAGGATGTTATCTCTGGAGATGATAAATTATCCCTATGCCTGAAGAAGGGTGTTTGTGCCCGAAAGCTTGCAAAGAACAATTTTTCCAACTAATTAGTTGGTTTAATAAAAGATATCACATCTACCCAAAGAGCCTTGTCTGCCTATGATCTCTGGAGAGACAAATCCACAGTTTGAGAACTGCAGCTAAGCATCACAGAGGTGCTTAATGGGATCTTCTAGACTGAGTACTGAGTCCCCTTGGGTGGAGTGGTTTTCTTTAATCTTTACTAATCTATAGAGGAGCCTCTGGGAACCCCTTAAGATTGGGCCCCTAATATAGTCCATGACCTGTTGTGACCTATTTATAAAACTTCTAAAATGTTTACATAAATTGTCTCAAATGGTATATAATTATAAATTATAATCCCTATTATGGGATGATATCTTTAAGCTTTAACATATCTTAAATTAAAGCTACGTTTATATAAGTTTATTTTTAAAAGCATCTTAAAAAATAAAAATATGATTTAAATTAAAAAAAATGATTTAATAAAAAAAATCACATTCTTAGTCTTTAAAAAAATTGTTGATTTTTATCCACACTGGTTAGGTGGAATGAGCTGTGATTAACTTAGACATACACAGCATTGGAGAGATGGGGGTACTACTCAGATGGTACTATTGTTTTTCCCTT